ATGGCCATAACTCTTCACTACTACGCCATGGGAACGAACGCTTCTAGGGTTTTCTTAGTCTCACTGAGGCCTACCTGTAGCCAAAAGATGAAGCCGAAAGCTCGGAATCAGTTGGATACGTTCCCTCGTAAGATAATGAAGTAAACTTCTATATATTGAAATTCAATTTTTTTAATTAGTAATGAAAAGTGTGATTAGAAAGATTCTTTCTTCGAAAGAAATTTCTAGACTTTACTAATGTCAGTTTCGATCGATTAGTTGTATATATGAATAAATAAATAAATTCTTGAACTTACTTGTAATAAACTTAATTGATCAAGATTATAAAGTAATCCACATGTTGCTTGTTTAACAGACATTTCATTTGTATTTTTATTTATTTTTTGTATAATATCAAAAAGATTATGTTGATTTTGTTTTAAAATTTTTTTAATATTTTCATTAAATGATAATGACCATAAAATACTTAATGTAATCATTGTACATTCACGATAAATAAGATTATCATATATGTTTTTATTTTCATAATTAATAATAACATTTATAAATAAATTTAAATATTGTTGTCGAATAATTTCTTGTATATAATCATATTTAACAATATGAATTAAACTTTTAAAAAACATATTCATAGGTATTCGATTATAATGATATGAATGAATATTTTGTAATGACATTTGAATATAATTTAAACATAAAAGAAATAATTTTTCTGATAAATGATCATTTTCAGTTGAACTTGTTAATATAAGTAAAAATAATTGTGACATTATTGCAATACGACGATTTCCACATGTTTGAGCTTGTTCAATTAAAATTTCTAATTTTTTTATATAATTTTCATCTGTTTGAATTAAATATTGAATTAATAAACGATTATCAAAACAATAAATAATTAAATAACATATTATTGAATCAATTAATATTGTTTCATATGTTGACCAATTAATACATATATTCATATATATTTTTTCATGAAGAATTAATGAAAATAAATCAATTAATAATTGTCGATGATTATCATTATCAATAATTAATGTATAATTAACAAGATATGTTATAATACCTGTTAAACAAGATAAATTATTTGATGAATTAATTTGATTTTGTGTTAAAAAATAATTTATAAAAATAATATAATTTGATAAATAGAATTCTAATATAGTTTTTGCATTATCACATTCATTTTCATCACAATTAACATGTATACCCATTGCCATTGTACATATACCTAAATAAAATCGATGATGTACTGTTATAATCATTGTTTGATTATTTTCTATAGATAATAATATACATTGTTTATATTCATTTGAATTTAAACATTGAAGTATTTGGTGATTAAAATAAAGAAATTTTTCATCTAATGTTGAATCAATATAACTATGTTCAAAAAACATATAAGATTCATACCATAGTAAAATCATTTCAATAAAATCTGATTCATTATTATTCATATTTGGTAAAATTTTCATTAAAATATCAAATAATTCTGTATTATTATCGATTAATAATTCACGTACACGTTTATGATGTTCAAGATTATTTTTTGCGTGTTCACTTTCTTGATCAATGTCATCAATATCATCATTATCATTTTGTAATGTTAATGCTAAACGTCGATTAAATCTACCAACCATAGTTAAATAATTTAATTGTTCAACAATTAATGAACTTTTTTGATGATACCATTGTTTGAATAAATATGCAGCAACATATTCAAACATATCAAATGCTTGTGATCGCCTATTAATAATCATATTAAGAAAAGCATTATCTGATGTTACTGCTAGACATGATTCTACACATGTACCAAGTCTTTGTAATAATGTTCGATCATAATAAGTTAAAGAACTCCATCCTGCACTATTTCGTTCAATTGTGTCCAATTCCTGGTCAAGAGTTGCTTGCATTTTTTGTCAAGTGTCTCTTTTGTATAAGGACATAGACAAGCGAACATATTTCTTATCAATACAAGGTAAGATCATGTTTATCTCTGTTCTTTCATTGAAAAAGCTTACATCATTCACTAACATGTTATTATTATAAATTTTTTTTTTTTGTCTTTTTATTTGTACGATTTAAAATATTTTAAAGAAGAAAAAGAATGAACTAGTTGTAGAGACATAATATGATAAATTTATAAGAAAAAGAAAAAAAATGTGTAAGTGTGCATGATCTAATCGAAAAAAGAAAACGATTGTTTTGTTGTGGTAGTAAAAAACAGAAGAAAAAAGCAACGCTTGTTCTGTTGCCGCTGTTGCGCACACACAAATTCACAGAAAGGTGATAGAGGTATAATAGACAAAAGAGGAAAACACATGTGAGAAGAAAAAAAAAAAATGCTTGCTGCTGCTGTGTCACCACCACCAAAATAAATTGATTTTCGTTGCTTAATAACCCGACAATTCGTTCAATGTCATGTCAAGTTCGTCACTGACATTCTTGTATTTCTCTTTTTCGGCAAGTAATTCGTCTGCAAAGAAGAAAATTTTTTCAATGTTTTCTTTTACCAAACAAAAAACAAACGCAACAAAATGATCTTCATTCAAAAATAATAAAGCAAATATTTTGCTTACGATTAAAAAGAATTGATCAATAAAATGCATACATACAAAATTATAATAATAATAATAATAATGGTAATGATAAGACGAAGGAATAAAAATTGAAATTTCACAACACACACAACAACAACAACAACAAACAAACAAATGAATGAATGAATGAATCAAAGTACATTCTGAAGATCATTGATCATAGAATCCATTTCACGTTGCAAACTTTTGCTGCGTACATTCTCACTTGTTATTTCGCCTGAAATACACGCATACAAATGCAGGATAGAATAAAGGATTAATCGTGCTAAATTTGGTTAGATCATGCAGCAGTGTTAGTAATATATATAATTTTTATTGTTCAATGGCATATCTTTAATATTCAATTTGTCTCATGTGAGCTACATCAATTAAACTAGTTGATATGAAACTACAACACATCTATTCAATGGAAAAAAAAAGTTAGTGTATAATCTACGTACACCTACAGACAATATCACGCACAATTTTTGAATTCGAAATATGTATCGATTAGTTGAGTAGGATTAGTGTAGCATCTAGTATGAAGTGTTCACTCAAACCGTAGAAACTTTTCTAGAGAGTAAGTCATAAATAATAATTAAGAATAGAAATAAATGTTTCATAGGGAATGTTCTATCACGATTTCTCAGCCGGAATATGTCCGATAGAGCTGAAATACTTTTTACAGGTATTGAACACTGGTATTTTTTTCTCATGATTATCATGAAAAGAATTTTACATATAAAGAATAATTAAAGTGCAAGTTTTTTGAGAGTTGGATTTAATGAAAATACTAACTAACAATGAAGAGCTTTTAATTCATGGCATTTGATAGAGGCTACTTCAAAGCTATATCAAAAATCGAAAAATTTTGATTTTAACAGTGACTCTATACAATACATAACAATCTTGATGATAAACTTCTTTAGATTTCAACTTCATCGATAGAGACGAACTATTATCATTGTTCAAACAAAACGATCGATAATGTTATCATAAATAATTTTTTATAATAAAATATTGCACTATTTTACCATACAGGGTGTATGTCTCTCAACGTATTCTTATCTATTCTGACAAGAAAAATTCATTTGAAAATAATACCTTTCAATTGATCTGCTTTTCTCTGTAAAACAAGCATTGTACGGGTGGCATGCTCAGCTTTGTTTTCCGTCTAGATATATATATATATACAACTAATATACATGCAGCATGCAAATATTAAATATAGTAAAAAAAAAAAAAGAAAATAATCAAGAATAACAAAACCCATGCAAAGGAGGTGGCCGAATGTGCATTGAATCTATTTTATTATTGTGATATTACCTTCGAGACGATCGACCTCCTTTTGCAATTTGGCCATGGTACGTTCAGCAAGATCAGCACGTTGTTCAGCCTATACTCGTATGATTGAGATTAATTACATATTTTGTTTTTTAATATTGTGAATTTAATTGTATTCTCATTGTTTTTCAAATAGCAAAAAAAAAAAAACGAAGAATCGAAGCTTACATCTTTAAGGCGTGTGGTTAAATCACGAATTTGTTCTTCATAACTTTCTTCACGTTGTATGGCCTAAAATACACAAAAGGAAAACATTGTTATTAATGATTATTTTTCTATTAAATATGAAGCTAAGGTTGGGTTTTCAAACAGTTTTGTATAACATTCTTATGTGAACTACCTCTTGTTCAGAAACTTCAAGTGATTTCATATTGTTACCAACAACTTTGAGTTCTTCTTCGAGTTCAAGAATTTTTCTAAAAGATTTAAAAAAATATTTTACCTTGGTTAAAAACACTTCTTTCGAACGTAATTCATAATGCAAATGTTTCACATCCTGTTCATATTGAGCAATTTTACTACAAGGAAGAGAAAAAAAAACAGCAAACACATGCAGGACAAAAATTCAATCATGCATACGCTTCAAATCTTTGTGCACGATCGTCAAGTCTTTCCAATTCACCTTCACGTACTTTCAATTTACGTACTACCTAAAATTAAAATGATGCATACACTTCAAATTTCATGCAACAAAAAAAACTCAAAAAGAACATGTTAGTAAAACCAAAAAAATAATTCATCGTGCAAAAGAAAGAAAGAAAGAAAGAAAGAAAAGAAACACCAATGCATCTTACGCTTCGGCGGCTTCAGCACGATCTTCAGCACGTTCCAAATCGACTTCCATAATAGCAATACGACGAGCAACCTGGACTCATATTTAAAATGACTCAATTTTTTTCATTTTTACTCTGTGGGTTTTTTTTTTATTTAAATGAGACTCATTTAATAAATTAGGTTTTCTTTCTAATCACCTCATCATATTTTCGATCGGAATCCTCAGCTATAAGCTGTGCTTCGGCCAATTGCTGTTCAAGTGTAGCAATACGTTCATCATCCTGGTATGTACGTTGTTCGAGACCTTTGCGACCACTGGAGATTGAAAGAAGAAAGAAGAAATAGATAAATATAAAAAAAAACAAAAGTTAATAATCAATAGATAACTTAAACCCCAATCCCCACCCCACTAATTCGCTAACAAAGATAAATCAAATAGTGCAGTGTTAGTAACAAATTAAAGCAAAATTAGCATTTCTAATATTTGATTTTCTACCTCTTCATATTTTCTCTCATTCATATGACCCAATTGTTTTGCCTCTTTGAGTAGCTGTTCAAGTGTATCATATCTGTTACCAAAACCAGATACTTTGCCATCAAGAATAAGACGTTTTCTAAAAAATTTATTTGCGTGTGTGTGTGTTTTTTCTTTTACCTTGGGGATTTTCTCAATGCTAATTAAGAAAAAAACGTATCTTTATTATTTAGTATGATTACTTACCGTTCACTTTCATCAGCTGCTTTTGAAGCTTCTTCAAGTTTTTGTGTAGCTTGTGTAAGACGTTCTTCGGTACGTTCAAGATCTTCTTCAACTAATTGTATACGACGTTGAAGACCACCTACTTCACCTTCAGCCTAAAATGATTATATAAAAGAATAGACTTTTGTTTTCAGTCTTTAATAAGACAAGATCACACTTGTTCTCGTGCATGTTTTTCACGTTCACGTTCAATCTGATATGCATGCAATTCATCTTGAGATTTAGCCAACTCATCTTTCATTTGTTGCATACGTTTTCGTATTGTATCAATAACAGAACTACCTGATTCATTCATTGTTGAAGAACTAGAACTTTGTTGGGGAGTACGATTTAATGTTCGTAAAGTACCAGGATTAAAATTTGCAGACATATTAGTCTTATCTATGTTATATGTGTGTGGTCAACAGAACATTATTCTACTGTGGACAACCATGATTCATGTTGTGAATGCCTCCTTATCGATGAGTTGAATAGATGTCATCAGAATGAGTTACCTCTCTTGACAAAGAAGAACCATGGTTGAATTCATTGTATGATGTGCGTTTGTGTTACATAGATTAAAAAAATATTGTAATCGGACATAGGCGCCACCTAGCTATGCTTACTATATTCGATCTATACAGTTGCTGATTTACTTTCTACTTCTTGCAATATTTCCTTTCCTTGTAATTAAATAAGAAGAATTTTTCATTGAACTAATCTATCTTGTGAATATTTCATTAGATTATTTTTTAAAAGTGGAAATATATTATCTTAAGTTCTCAATAGCTATTTGCATAAACAGATAAAAGTGAACATGAACTTGAGTCTAGTTAATGATGAATAGCGTGAAACTAATTCAGGTGACTTACATCAGTAGCAGCCTTTTCTTTGGCTTCAAGTTTAGCATTGGCTTCGGCTAATTGTTCTTGAACAACATCAAGCTCTGATTCGACCTGTTGAATCTTTTTTTGTAAAGTATTGCCTTCTTCCTCAGACTACAAATGAATAAAAATTTGTACTATGAAAATTTAATAATGAAACAAAAATACATACTCCTTTGACTTTTTCTTCCAAATCTTTTTGAGCTTGTTCGGCTTGTTCGGCACGGTCGACAGCATTCTCTTTTTCAAGTTTCATAGATTGCATTTTCTTTTTGATGGAATCCATCGTTGCTGTTGTGTTTGAGTTTGATGACATGATGACCGGTTTTAATTTAAATTTTTTTTTTTCAAGAAAGAAAGCTCAACAGATCTAAAACAAAATAATATTCAAGGACAGTTCTGTAGATGAAAGTTTGGCAAAAGATAACTGAATAATATCAATAAGAAAGATATTTCTTCTACGGCAAATACGGAAACAATTGTGTCTACGACATATAAAGAACTTAAAGGAAAAATGCGCGCTTTCGTTGAAGATAAAAAATAACAGCAATAATAAATTCTCGATATATATGGTATACAAAAGTACTCTCTTATTGTTGGATGCATTTACATGCTACTCTTGTTGTGTACGGGTGGTAATGGTAGCGACGATAAAGAGAAAAAATCGTGGTTTATTAGTTACGTATATATACATATATATATATATATGGATGCGTTTGTGGAAACAGATAGATTTAGACTCTTCTTTTGCTTTTCTCTATGTTTATTCGTCATCAGTATGCTAGCTAACGATGGATGTATATGTAAGTTGTACGATATTATTTTTCTTTGTTGGATTGTTTTTTTTTCCTTTTTTCCTTCTTTTCTGTTTGATATTGGACAAAGAATGATTGTAGTGGGACGGAAAGGATCTAAACATATTTACATCTTAGAACAACGACTGCAAGAGAATGTTGTTTAACGAGGCTAACATTTTCCTGATTAATGTTCTTCTATGCCTAGGTATGATTGGAAAAAGCATATTGGTATTGGTAGAAGTAGCAGCATAGGAAAAGAAAAGAGAAATATGAAGAAACAATTTATGTATACGTGATTATCATGGGTTATGAAGAAGGAAAAAAAAAACGTATAGTCTTCTGTTTCTTACTAATATTCTTGCTTTAGTTCTCAACATATGTCCACATATTGTTCTACGACATTACCCAGTCTAAATGAGAAAAGCGCAGTTATATCTTTAATATTCATATACAAAATAAAAAACAAAGCTAAGAAAAAAAAAAATAATAACAGTTTTTGTCTTATTGATAACTATTTAAATTATAACAACTGAATGAAATATTCAATATACAATTGCATTAATCTGTCTAATACGGAAATTGTAGATAAGAAAGTTTTATATTGATAAGTGGATGAATCCAATCAGGAGAATATTTTATTTGATAATTATAAACAGATGACGGATGATGTTTCTTCTTGAATAATACGAAAAATTAGATTTATAATTATTTTCAATGATAATGATGATATTGATTGCATTTGAATGCAAATTGATCAGCGTAGAAAAAAAAAAAACCTTGTCACATTTCCAAACATGTTAATACGTAATTTCTTTTGTCTTTTATCTTGTAATGCTAATGATGATCAAGGCGTTTTCACAAATATATCATTTATATGGTAAGATTATGTCGACTCAAATTTTGTCCATGCTGTGTTGTTTGCTTATTATAAAATGGATACTAATCTTGAATAAAAATTGTTTTTTTTTTAATTTTCTGTCAAAAAAAAAAGAAACAATAAAATATTTTATAAATGATACAAAATTTAATATTTACTATTCAAATTCATTTAATCATCTTTTGAATTTTCAATTGCGAATATTATAAGTAGAATGTATAATTTTAAGTACAAGAATAGAATTTTCTCTTTTTACATGATAGTTTAACATCAGCAGAAAATTCTCGACATTGCTAAGATAATGTTGATATACTTCATTATAAAAACAAACCATTTCTATAGACGACATTGATTTCTACCAGAAACTTACGTGATGTCAATGTCACTTGTTAAAGTAACTCAACCTCGCACAATTGCTTCTTTTTCTGTCACATAAGATTTAGTTCGATAATGTAATTTATCATTGTTTATCTGTAATGTACTGTACGTATGAAGTTCAGGGTAACGAATAATATAAACAATCGGAAATTGTATTTGATATAAGACATTTTTTTTTCGCATTTCAACGAACACGGGAAAAATGATATAATCCATGTTATCTTGTTCCGATGAAAAATCAATGACAGTTAAATTTTCAAAAATATTGACTTTTTGTTCTATTAACCAAACAATGGTTAATAATTGTAAATTGTTACACATTATATGAATTAATTAGATGAACTAAGATTTTTTTTTGAAAGCTTATTGATAATAATGAAAGAGTCTTGGATAATATATTGTTTTCTCAGAGCTGGTTTTTGAAAACGAAATCTAACTGTCGTCGATATAGTGACACAGCCATCTCTTCTAGTTGGTAACTGAAAGTTTCCATTCAAAAGACTTAAAAGTAATCAGATCACTCGTAGAAGATAAGTTCAATAAAGTATAGAATTCAAGTATCATACGACATCGGAAATCTATACTGTTTATAAAATTATCAATAATAATAAAATTAGAGAGTAAAATAAACGGATAAAATCATTAAGTTTCACAATATTAAAACTTTCGCAGAGTAAAATTGACAAAATTTATTTTTAACGGATAGCGCCAGAGTTCTTTGTTAATTTTGTTTTCACTATGGCGCGACACAACTCATCAAGGAGATTCGCAATAGTTTTCTGATTAGAAAGAGCAGAGTCTCGACTGTAAAGTTGAGTAAAGATATTTGAATCAAAATACTTATCGAAGGCTAAAAAGGTTTCTTGCAACTTCACAGAAAATTAATGACGAGAAATGAATATATTCGATTTGTCTTGAATTCAACTTTCGAAAGTTTTAACCATGTTTTGTGTGAGTGTAATCAATACAACGTAGGTTTTCTGGAGTTATCAAAATATTCGAGTTACAAAACCGTCGATTTCATAGGAAACAGCTTTATTTAAACCTTTCTGTTTTATGAAGTGTGCTTTTGGAGACGGTTCACTAAAATTTATTTGAACATAAAATATGGGGTTTTCATTAGGTTTGATTGTTGAAAAAAATCTTCTTTTTCGAAATTAGTTATTCTTTGTGAGCACTTTTCACAAGCAAAATGCGCTAGACAAATGTTGATTTTGAACTCAATGAATAGCTGAAAAAAAATTATTTTTACTTATTTGCAATGCTCTATCGTAGTGCTACAAAACCCAATAAAAGACGGAAAATAGGAAGAACTCTGTTAATGAATGGATGTTTTTTTCTAAATTCGATAAGTGTACAGAGATATTTTCAGCCATTTGTAAGTAATTTCAACCAAATATCTTTTTTACATAATTTTATAGTAACTACTTGCTCTTCCTAACAAGAAAACTATTGAATCTTGACGATGAGTTACTGTCACGCTGTACTCAAAAACAAAATTAAGAGTGCCTCTTTCCCTTTTTTTTGACCAAAACTCGATTTCGAGCTGAACGTACGGTATGATAGCCTCAAGTGCCATGTACAATTAGAGGCATCATTTTTCCAGAGTCCTGGAAGCGATGATTTCGATTTTAGTTTCGAATAGTTACGTATTACTCTCGAAGAATAAAAGAGCATGAGACTTTTGGAAAAGTTTAAACTTACCTCTGAGATATAGTCTTAGGTATTTCTAAACGATTCTCTTCGAGAGTTAGAGATGACCACAAAAAAGTGGGTACCCTTATATGTTGAATTATTGTACGATCCGTTAGTTGTGTATCAGTCTTCAATTCTAAATGAATAATCGAAAACCAATTTGTTGAAATTATGTTGAAGATACAATTTTCAGTTTAGCTTAAAATTTGATCTTTAATATCATATTGCTAATTAGTTTTCATTTGATGGATTATTCTGATGTAATTTTTTTAAAGTGTCATACAGTATGCTAGTTGTTTATAACTTATTCTATTTCATAATCATTCATTCTTCATAAACTAAAAACAAATGATGTCTAATAATTTTTAATATTAAGTTTATTTCTATGAACAAGAAAAATTAGTGATCAACTAATTTTGTTTAAGATGATTGATTAGTTGTTATGGTACAAATGATTTATAGTCTGAATTAATAAATGAATAAATACTTTTCTCTCATTACGCATAGACTAATCTCATATTATATCTTTGTTGTAGATTTGTAGTTATATAAAATTGATTGATAGTGGAAAATGATAGAAGTGTAACACATGCTAGAACAATTGTTTGTCCTGTACAAGTAATAACTAATGTATTACGCGGAGAATTGAAGGATCATTAGAAACAATCAATTTGGTCAAATTAAGCAAAATTACAAACAAAACTATGAATCTTGTTATTCGAACGCAGGATGAAACAGTAACTAGATATTTCCAATTTGA